TATATATTTCCATTAAGTAATGTACAGCAAAGTTTCATTCCTAAACAACCCTAATCATTCCACTGTAATCAATGAGCCTGGCCAAATGCTTACATATTTCTTCTTTATTGGGACTTCAAATTAACAATATATCTAGAAGAGAAAAAAGTAGTAGTATTACCTAAATTGGGCAATAGCTAGTTCTGATATAATTCATCATGTTAGTCCTTCGTGTTGCCTAACACTCCTATCTCTGCTCCACCGTTCCCCTGCAGTCCAGAAATGACTGAGCTCAGCAGAGGAGGAACATTCTTGCTTGGCAATAAAGGACTTTTCACCATCGACAACCTAACCTGTGGCAAGGTAGGAGAACAGAAGACAGTTTGCTATCCAACATCCACTTTCGATTGGCTCTCCTGTATTCCTCAAGGGCAGCAACTGCAAAGGTAGTTTTTTTCCTTCAAATAAAATGAGTGCAGTTGTGGACTGCTCAAAACTTAACTTATTGTGTACTTTTGGCTTGAATGGGGGTAGATAGATCAAAGCTTTCTCAAGTAGCACCTGTTTCTCCTTCACTCTGGCAGGTATTCATGGGTTCAAGATTGAGGGTTGATGCTAGGAGTTTGGAGCATTAGAAATATCCAAGGTGATGAAGCTGCACCGCCCCAGTTGGAAACTGCCTGTTAAAGAAGGAATGAAAACGAAGGGGAAACTGGGACAGATGGGCAAGGCAGTGTGGTGGGCAGTGCATAAAGCCTAGGTGGGGCTGCTGGGCAGCTGCTGGCTCTGACCAACCACCAAAATGGGTTGAAAGTAAAATTAACAACCAGCTAGATAATACACTTGGAGTCAAGTTTTGTCACATAATTTAAAAGAAGCAGTTGATAAAATTGGACAATAGTTCTTGCAGAGAAAGAAGATACAGGTAGTCCTCGGCTTACGATCATTCGTTTAGCTACTGTTTGAAGTTACAAGAGCATTGAAAAAAGTGACTTACAACCAGTACTCGCACTTATGACCATCTCAGCATCCCGATGGACACATGATCAAAATTTGGGTGCTTGGCAATTGGCATGTATTTACAACAGTTGCAGTGTCCCGGGATCACATGATTGCCATTTGCAACCTTCCCAGCTGGCTTCTGACAAACAAAATCAATGGGGAACAACATGATTCACTTAATGACTGCCACAAAAATATCATAAAATTGGGTGCAGTCACGTAATGCCTCACTTAATGACTGCACTGCTTAACAATGAATTTTCCAGTCCCTATTGTGGTCGTAAGTAAAGGATTACCTGTAAACTGCAAAACAGTGCTCTGTTGTTCAAGTCAACCCTAACTCCTGGTCCATGCAGTTGTCTTGACAACATTTTCAGATGTGGTTTTGCAGTACTTTTCCTAGGGCTAAGAGAGAATGACTGGCTCATAGTCACCCAGCTTCTTTTTGTGGTGAAGAATTCATGGTCTTCCAGCTTCTAATCCAGCACACCAAACTGGCTTGCAATTTTTTGTTTATGTATGCCTACATTTATTGGCTGGGATCTCAAAGATGTAGGTATTACACAATTGGGGCATAATATAAACCCACCAAATATATTCACTGTGCCAACCTTCCCCGATATGATATACCCTCCAGATGTGTTAAGACTACAACACTCATATCCCTCAGCCATAAAATCCCTAGCTGGCTAGAAATTCTGGAAATTGTAGCCCAAATTGCAGGGCATTGTATTAGACTAGGAGACCCATCCATTCAGCCATCAAAACACATCAGGTTGTTTTGGGCAAGCCACTATATCTCAGCGAACCTACCAGCCAAACTACCTCATACATTATTTTTATGGAGATGAACTTAGATGAGGGAGTTCTATGGATGCCACCTTGAAGGAAAGGTAGGAATCTAAGGAACAAATCAATAATAAACATATCTGGAGAATACTACATTGGAGGAAGTTGCATTATGTCCACCTATGGCAATTCAATCCCAGTCACAGTTCTTATCTCTATACATAAATTTAGGCTTTCCAAGATGAGAATTTCCAGGGCAAGTTATTCCAGGAAACAGAAAAATACTTCCACCCCACAGTGATTAAGTATAGATACATATATCACAAACTACCAAGGACATATTACCGCAAGAAGAGTTAGGCACTGCATTGTCTGCCTAATACTGGGGAAACATTTATTTGTTAGAGTATTACTACTACTAATGATACTCTTGAAGTTGTTTGAATTGTTATGGTAGACTGACCATACAGCAAACCTCCAATAAAGTCATCACTGCTTTAATTAGCCAGACACTAAGTTTTTCTTAGTAGCTAAAAAATAAATTATCCTCACTTCATATTCAGTTTTCAAGAGCCATTTAGAGTGCTGGTTTTGACCTATGAAGCCCTCAGTGCTTGGCACTTAGGTACTTGTGGGCATTCTTCTCCTATGTAACTCAAGCTATGCTATAAAATCATCCCAGAAAGGGATACTGGTTGTTCCACACTTCCAGGATGTGTATGTGTGTGGTGGGGCAAGACTAGGAGGTATTGTTTTATGGTTAGATGGTCCCCGTTCTAAGGAACAGCCTCCCCTTAGAAATAAATGGGCTGCTTCTCTAATGTCAAAGATGAAATTCTTCCAAAGAGCATTTGGTGGTGGTGCTAGTGGAAATGATGATAATGATGATTTTGCTATCTTTATTATTTTTGCTGTTATGGTTGTTGTAGGATTAATTGTTAATAATCTGCCAATTGCTGTAAATATTTAGATTTAATTAATTATTTTAATGTACTATTAATTATTTTATGTAATGTATTATGGATGTTTTAATTGTATTTATATTGTGAATGTTCTAATTATCAGTTTTAAACTGTTGCAGACTTGGTGGTATAGAAATATAATAAATATATAAATAAATAAAATTAAATAATAAAACAGCTACTTTAAGACATGTGCATCTCACATTGCAACCTGCAGATGATTAGTCTCAGGCACAACCAAACAGCATTTCAGAAAGAGAGCTAGTAGAGAGCAGTATTTAATCTTACTTTCAGTTGTACCAAATGCACATCCACATGCTTGCTGTCCAGGTCCTGCTGCACGGAGTGAGTCAAATCCCTGACTCTTTCTGATGTCACCCGAAGCCACGTCTCAATCTCAGGCAAGTGGAGAACAATCTTCCAGTCAGCAACTGTGTGCAGAGGGGGGGGCTTTTCATATTGTTGTTCGGAATCAAAATCTTCCATGGCACATTCCCCACCATCTTGCTCAGTTGTAGGAGTTGTGTTGATGACCATAGGGGACACATCGGTAGTAACAGCACTCAGTTCTTGTGGATGGATGGGGGAAAGTGCTACTTCCATGGCTAATGTCAGGAGCTCTAGATCATAATTCTTGCCAAAGCAGCTGCACGTATGGAAGAGGAAAAAGGCAAATGTTTAAAAAAGAAGAACTTGGAATGAAAGTCTTCTTTTGCATTCCACCCCAAATACATCAGCCTAATTCACTAACAATTGATATACTGCATGTTTAGACATATATTGAATTCTGCCTCACTATTTGTTAACAGCACTGAAAGCAAGCCAAACTTGTTTGGGACTAACAAGATTAAAATTCTGTCTAAACATACCCAAATTCAAATCCAAAATAGTTGCCGCTTCTTGTATGAAGCATAATAGCAAAACAGACTTAGCATGGTTTACTTCTACTTACTGTATGATTAGAATGAACAACAAACCCACAAAATGGCTTATTAATCACAATCAATCAATCAATCAATCAACAGCCTGCAGCTTTTGAGACCACTCAATGTTTATTTACAGTATATACTTGAAACCATATCCGTAAGAGGTAGAAATTAGCAGGGAAAAGAAAGATTTAATTAACGTTAAGATCAATTAACAATTATTAATTAATAATTAATGAATAACTATTGTTATTTGTGTGGACAGTGTAAAATGTAAGAAATCTAAGGAATTCAAGAACTTAAAATGCAATATTGAAATATTTGTAGCTTATTGTCCAAAGCCAGAAATTAACCTGCTATTTAGTGAAGCATGTAAGAAGACCTCTGATGGATCAGACATGAAGCCTTACCAGAGAAACATCTGTTGTGTTTCTCACAACAGTCAGCCAAATGTATGTGTGCTGTATCAAATATTCCAGGTTAATCTGTAGCACCTCCAATAAGAAAGATCAGTTGGTAGATGATTAAAAAGACCTTTCTCTGCCTGAGATCTTGGAGAGCCATTACTAGTAAGAGTAGTCAACACTGAGCCAAATGGAACTGATATAATATAAGCAGCTTCCCATGAATTGCTTTTTTTTAAAAAAGGACCTTAATTTCATTTACTATGGAATTTTAATCTCTGCCTAATTAGCAGAAAACTGGAATATACTGATAGTTACTAAACTGGAAAAAATCCTATCTGCATATATTCCAAACACTTGGTGACCACAAATAATTTACAGAAAAAATACATTTACAATTACAGTGACAAGTAACTTCTCATAACTATTTTATTATATAGTCAGTTTTGATACCATTTTAGAAGGCATTCCCATCATGATTTGCTCTGCTTCCCAAATGCCAGTAGTTGATCAAATAGACAATAATTAAATAAAGAAGCACAAAAGCAGGGAGAACAGAAGAAAAGAAAACCAAGCTAAACCTTCTGCATCTGTTTATTAATCTACTCTGAACTCACTTATAGAGTTTGGGCAACTTCTCTTCTTATGGAGAGAGAGAAATGGGGGGGGGGTAACTTTGTTCCCCATGATCCCACATGTGCCTGCAACTCCCAAATTAGTGGACAGTTTAAAATGGATGTAACCAGCCAAGCTCAAAGTCCTTCTTTAAACTGTCCTCTCAAAACAAATTTTCAATGAAAATCCTGAATTAGGTTTCAATTCTCATCCATTCTACATAATGCAATCAATTTACATTTGCTAAAAGCTGAAAATTATATTGGTGCATAATAAATAGATAAGTAGATTTTACAGGTAAGCAAACTGAATAAATATATGTTCTTCACTGTGGAGAGAAATTATTTTCATGGAATGGCTCTGTCAACTTCAGATAAAGGTGACAAACAAAACTTCCTCCATGTTTTCAGCATTATTTCTTTCTAAAAGCTGACTTGCGATGAGGCTTGGGAAATTTATTAGAGCCAATATCATCTCTATTGACAAACAAACTAATTACTTCTTGCTAATCACTATCTAATGAAAACCTAGGAAGCTTAATGCATACACAACTGTCTGTAGTATTACAATGGACTCCTTCTGAAGAACAGATTTGTTCCAGTAGGAAACTGAATGCATTAATAAGTGTGTGCTTCTGAATAAACTTATGTTTTAAAGTTCCAGCTTCAGTGCAAAATGTTGCTGATTTAATTCAGAAGCAGGTAGGGATGTTTGTGAATCTCATCAGCCTTTCTCTTATCACCGCCTTGAATCTGCACCCTGCCAATTGAATAGTACAAATATTGCCACTGGCAGCTATTTAAATAAAGAAAACTCCTTCCTCCTTATCTCTCCACCACAATCAAGAATAGTAAAACTATATCATGTAAATATCACTGCTTATTTATCAGGCCAGATAAATATTTTCCTAACCACACGTTTTCTTGAAAGAAGAAATGTTGCATGCAGAAATGACTGGCATTATTATGCCTACTTCATTATGGAGTTGTTTAGCAGAATCAAAAGCCCCTTAAGCCAGTCACCTAGCTACTAAAGGAAAAGCATCATCAGATTGAGTCCTTCTTATATTGTCTTTCTTCAAACTAAGCTAGGAAAACCTCCTTATCTTTCTCTCTTTCTGTCCACAAGCGATCTGCTTGGCAAAGCAAGACAGCTGACATGTTACCACTAACATCAACCAATGAAAACATGCTGGCGAGATAACTTTGATTTGTGAGCCCTTTCTTGAAAAGAGCCAAGGTCTTGCAGAGAGCAAGTCAGGTAAATAATTAAAACATCATCGAAGACTTTCTAGAAAGGGGAAGAGTTTTTCCAAACAAGCTAACAAATGTTCAGATTGAGATACAGTTCCAGCTGCTGTATGCTCTAGTAAGTAGAAAGCAAGCAACCATTCAACAGGCGTGTTCAATCCTTGCTGCCATCCACCTAATGGACTATTATCTCTTGCGGCTAAATAGATTGAACTACCCACATTGCTCAGCTAAAAAGCTTCCTGCTCTAAATTAGAATTTTGTTGATTGGATTTAGCGTTTGATAAAAGGCAACCTTCAAATGTATCTATTCAATTACTGATTGATTCTATATCTTTATGTTCCTTCATTAAGAAAAGAAATCTTCACAAGATGGCTCATAAAAACACATATCTTGAAGCATACAGCATTTAAACATCATTGTTGAACTATGGACACCTTCATAATGACATCAGCCAGTACTAATGCTAACACAGCACTGAATAAAGCCAAATATCACAGCATTACAGAAAGATAAATCGAAGGGAAATGAAAATCATGAGGCAGCAGAATGGGTTTCTGGGTCACCTAAAGGCCTGTACAGATGAAGCATGTTGATATTTATGTAAGCAGTGCAACAGCCTGATTGGTCTACATTTGATGGGTCTAAAATCAGACTCAGAAGAACGGTGCTGAAATATATCCATGCAGAAAGAAAAAAGTAAAAGAAAAAATACTGATTCTTATAAGTTGGTATGCCTCCTCCATCTTATTTCATAGTATGCATAAAGTCAAAAAAATATATACATTTTATGCCTTACATAAAACTGAACTACCCACCCAATGAGATCAATAGATAAATCAATTGAGTCAGATCAATTCCCAGGGAGGACCTATTAAAAGACAGACCGGAGAAACAGAATAACAGAAAACCGCTGGTTGTCACTTACAGCTCACAGCTCAAGGCTCTCAAATGCATTAGTAACAAACTACAGCCCATAGTGGACAATGACACTGCACTTTCTCAGGCACGGGGTGGCAGGGCCATACTTGCATACAGCAACCTGAAGTGGAGTCTTACAAGCAACAAGAAAAACAGGACAATAATGCCAACATCAGAACCAGACCCTGCACAAAGATATATGCTTTGCCTCCACATCTACACCAACAGCACCATCATGGGCCCCAACAATCACACACACAAGATTAGATTCTTCATTGTGATATATGCCATCATCTGCTAGCATTGCCCATCTGGCTCCTACATTGGGGAAATGGGACAAACTTTGTGCAGAAAAAATTAATGGATGCTAATTTCACATCAGGACTTAAAACAAGGACAAGTTAATAGCAGAGCATTTCAGTCTCTGAAGCCACTCCATAGCAGACTTTACAGTGACTGATTTAGAAAAGCAGGACCATCAAGCAAGAAACTTGAACTCCCATATATTATAAGGTTTCAGGCAATCTCAGAAGGTCAATTTCAGAAGGTCTCAACAAACGTAATAGGTTTTTAACATATTACAATTTTTTATTGATAAGGTATCTATCTCACATGTAACTTGCATCCCCATAACCAATTTATCTTTCTCCCTTCCACCCCCACCCCAATTTAAATCCTACATCACTTTAGCTTCTATGTATCTGATGAAGTAAGATGCAGCTCATGAAAGCTTATGCCTTTTAATAAAATGCGTTAGTCGGAAAAGGTGCTACCAGATTCCAGATTTTTTGCCACAATAGACTAACATGGGTCTCCTCTACAATGTCTACTGAAAGGAGAAAATGTCATGTTCTTCCCTCCCATTAAAAATTGTTTTCAAATAAAACTCTTCTTTACTATGTCACATAAACCAAGTATGAACCTAAATTGTTTCTACAGAACTAGGTATAGGATTGAACTCCAATGCAACTGGCCTGTGCTGATATGGAAGGCCCCAATCTACATAGAGAGTTCTCTTGTTATGTTGCCTTTACATAACAAAGTATACTGTGCATAAATAATATATCAAAATTAATTTGGCATACAATGCTCTAAGTCTCGCTCTCATAAAAACATGCAGTTGAAATAATACAGGCAGTCCCTAGGTTAAGAACATCTGACTTACAGACAACTCATACTTATGAATGGACTGCCATAAAGCCTATTATATTAAAAATTCGTTGGCTTGAGGAAAGAGAATGCCACCCACTATTATAAGTCAGATCACGTTGCCATTAAAATGATCACAACTGAAAATAAAGTAGAAATAATAAAGCAGTCAGAAAGAGGTGAAATACCATCAGTCATTTGACTAAGTGACACTAAATAAGAACTGTATATACTTGTTCTGACTTACCTACAAATCCGACTTAAAGACGGACTTGGGAATGGATTTCATTTGTAACCTGGGGACTGCCTGTAATTGCTTTATTTGTGCCTTCTTCCA